GGGGTCGTGTGTCCTAGGACTCTTGCTGCTGGTATGAACCTATTCAATATGAGGAGCCAGGGGTTGCAGTGCACTGTGAAAGGAGCCATGGAATTTTCAGGATTCTCAAATGAGGTGGCAAGCAACAAAACACTGCAAAGAAGAGGAGTACAAAGATGCTCTGAAAGAATTCAGGAGGTGCCACCATGTGAGTATGTTGTTGCCCCACCATTGCCACCAACAAAGGTCTCCAGTATCACCACAGAGGAAGAAGAAGAAAGAACCCCCCCCCCCTGTCTGATATTACAAACAATAACAACAATAAGCGACCCAACCTTCACAAGGAAAAACAAATGCTGGAGAAGGAGAAGAAGAAGCTGAAAAGGGATACAGCTTCACAGTTGCGCATGCAAGACTAAAGAAGGATGACCAGGAGGCTCCTGAGGTTGAAAGGACGGCCTACATGGCGGTAATTTCAAAGGTAAAGCACCAACGAGCAAATTTTCCAAAGCAACTGCATACGTCTATTGCGAAAATTGTAAGAGAGATGAACATGATTTATCAGGCTAATCTAAAAGTAGATACAGTGCGGAGATGGCTTCGGTTGGGCTTGGAAGAAACCTCCCCTAAAAAGGGGTGAAGGGCGGTTCTTCCTGAAAAGATTGAAACGGCTTTTATTAATTCAATGACTTCTGTTGTGAATCTCAGCTGTTCAGATATGAACGTTCAACCTCTACGCCCAGAACTACTCCAAATGCTAGTACTTGTGTGCCTCGAGAGTGGACCAACGGTACTGCAAGACCAGCATTTGCTGTTCAAACGATTGTACAAAGTGGTTTGCGATAAAGTAAAAATTGTGACCGGTAATTCAAAGACGGAAGAACAATGTGCCCAGTGGACAACGTATAATAAGATTAACACCTTCTTTGATTCACTTCGTGAAAAGCTTGTCAACCTTGGATTTGCTTGAGTTAGAATGGAGGATGGTGAAGACGGTGAAGGTGAACTGGTGTTTCTTCCGAACCAGTTGAATCATATTGTGAATCTTAACTAGAGTGGTTTGACTTTAGATGGCTGTTCCTTTCTAGCTGGAGGTCGAGCACCCACTCGGTATGGGCMTGCAAGCAAGAACATTGCCTGTGGTGCTGATTGCTTCGACAGAAATAGTTTTTTTTGGATTTCAGGTGGAACTAAGTGACAGCTTGAGCTCCAGGGCCCTCCGGAACCAACGCGCGCGCGTCCCCCCTTTGAAATCAAATATCGGGGGTATGATTTCGTGGGTTTTTTTTCCCAAACAATAACCCACGTTTCTAAAACGTGGGTTTTTTTTCCCAAACAATAACCCACGTTTCTAAAACGTGGTTTTTTTTTCCCAAACAATAACCCACGTTTCTAAAACGTGGGTATTTATTCCCAAAAAATAACCCATGTTTTAAAACGTGGGTTGGGTTAACCCACAAATAACCCACGAATAACCCACGAAATAACCCACGAAAAACCCACAAACCTGCTGGGCCTTTCTCCAAATATTAAAAAAAGTGATTAAATAACGTTAATGACTAAAATACTTAACACCCTTGGTTCTCCATCAACCCAGATGACTGTAAATTCGTGGGTTATTCGTGGGTTCTTTCGTGGGTTATTTGTGGGTTCCTGGGTTCTTTCGTGGGTTATTTTTCAAATTAAAATACCCACGTTTTAGAAACGTGGGTTATTTTTCCCAAACAATAACCCACGTTTCTAAAACGTGGGTATTTTTTCCCAAAAAATAACCCACGTTTTTCTAGGGGAGGAATTCGAAAAGGGGGATGTGCGCGTGGGTACCGGAGGGCCCAGGGTGTTAAATATCGCACTGTTCTTCACGTAGGCCTGTGTAGAAATAGTACGGGAAAAAGCTGTCACGGGATATATCACACCACAACCTCGTAACTCCCTCGAATATGATACCGTATTGCGTCCCATTGACTCACTTTCTGATAAAGTGTTCCGATTGCAATCGAAAAGTGATGAATCGAAAAGGCCGCATTTATTTTATAGAAGGCTTTAACAAAACAAAATTCTTTTTCGTTCCATCACTTATCGATACTTAATCGAAAAGAGATGAATCGAAAAGGCCGCAAGTATTTCTTGAAGGCTTAAAAAGAACAAAATTCTTTTTCGTTCCATCACTTTTATCCAAAAAACACTTATTGTTCTTGACTTCGAACGGGAACAACATGGAGCCAAGATCGTTAAGCTGTATCTAAAGATTTAGCGTACTCGACATTCATAATACTTATGATATGTTGGTACTGCACGATGATGCAACCCCTCATGGTGCTTCAATCGTATCACAAGAATCCCAAAGAAGTACGTATTGTGCGTTGTATTCTCTTGATTACTTCAAGCTTGTTCCTCTCGCGTTCTTCTTTTGTGAAACGAGACTACTTGGGTACTGCAAACAAGGGATCACATTATGTACTTATTTCCTAATACAGTACGTACTTCGTATTCATTTTTTATCACGTGATCTTGCGTAAACCAATAAAAATTGCGCTCTTCACTGAACATTCAACAAGTTAGAAAAGTTCAACAACATTCTCACAAATGCATTACAGCAATCTTTCTTCCAATGCAAGATAGTCACAGTCGAAAATATCGAATGAATACGATACAAGGATACTGAATAATACAAAATAATACTTCATCATGATTCACCCCGCGAAACGGATCAATCAAATCAACCTGCAAATAGCAAACGAAGAATACGACGAAGCAATCGTATCCCTTGTCGGAATCTTGAGAACGATAAAACTCGTCCTGTCCGGTGATGCAAGGATCAGTATAGAATCAGAGCGCGTTGAGATAGACAGAGACAACGACCAACGCGATGATACCACACCCTCGTCAGGCACAAGTCTTGAATACGATTTTTTCTCGACCCCCAAGAGTCCTTCGATTCTGGAAACAGCAGACGTCGGCAACGAATGTTGTCACAGTAGCTACTATCAACCCAACCCCCAACGGACCCGAAGCGATCTGGCTTTGGCGTCTCACAACAAGAGCGACGAGAGCACTACTTATTGTAGCGCACAGAAGCACCATCCGCAAATATTTCGTGATCCCATGATGGTGAGGGGCAATTTCTTTCGGGCATCCCTCGACAACAAAGTGTGCCAACAACTCTCCTATGTCGCCCTCTACAACCTTGCGCTATCTCACCACCTGAAATCGATGCAACTGTCCAGGAAGAAGTCGGAAAAGCAAACGGAATACCTGCAAAAAGCTCTCTCCCTCTACGAGCACTTCCACGAGGCACTCATGGCACAGACGGCCAGCAACAGCATTCCGATCACCCATGGGATGGCACTCCTGGGAAACCTGGGGCACATTCATCGAGAGCTGGGCAACCAGCGCAGCTCGGAGACGTGTCTTCAGTGCCTGTTGTCAAGAACGATGTACCTGGTCGTCACCGGACAGGTTGACAAAATGGGGGATCTAATGGACACTACGTTCGACATTGTCTTCCCCTGCCTCTCCATAGGAAGCCCCGCACCAGCGGCGTAGAGAACTAGTACCTACACGCTTTCAAAAGGAGCAAACACACACGTGCTGATACACGCCATACTGGCGTCGAACTAAAGCAATCCCAACATCCATAGACTATAGATGCACCATATTACTTCGATCAAATAGTGTTTTATTAATTGCGTCCAATTAATGTCCTTGGTTAATGCTTCTCCCAGTAAAAGAACGGTTGGTTGCCTTGACTGGTCCCAGTCTTTTGGGTGTCCATAATCCCGATGCACTCGGTGGACGAAGAAACCTTATTCGCTCCTGTGTTAGTTCGCATCAAAGCATAACATATCTAGTGGCAGTTTCGAGCAAAAGAAATTCCTTGAGTTCTTTTTGTTTATCATCCTGAGACAATACCAGCGAAACTCGAAACCAGCCCTAGGTCTTTCTTCAACCATTCGCCGCAGTATTCAGCTGTAGCAACCCTCGACTTCAACACATATAGTTGTATAATTTGCAAAGAACGCGAACGTTGGAACAAAATATTTTTCGATGATATAATTTCTAGACCATGAGTAGGCATTCTGCAAAATACTTATGAATGTTGGGATTGAATCTATTAGAATCTATGACATTACTTTCTTCCAAAATATTTCTTGTACATCATTTTTTCAAAAACTCCGTCCGCTACGGAAGAAGTATGAGGTACGAACCAACGTAGCCGTGTTAATTTTTTCGTAGTAGACTTTGTGAACGCTTCTAAACTATGGAAGAAACTTAGCTCTCGCACCACCACAATTATGGATATTTCATGCTATTCCAAATTTTCCACACAAGTCCACACAACAAGCGTATCATGATGTTCAAGAGAATGCATGCAATCACTTTGTGTGAAAGGCTATATCACGAAGATAGAGAACAAGGTGTAACTCTTTTTTGTTTGCAAGTGCAAGTAGAAAAATACCTCTGCTAAATAGCAAGGCATGTTTCTGAGCAACGGAAGTCTTCCCTTTTACTGTAGCGCTGTATCGGTAGCTCAATACGAAGCACAAATCTGCTCCGTCATAGAACAGATCAAATCCGATCAGAATTTTTAAGACTATTTTGGGGGAAGGGGGGATCCCGAGGGACCACAAAGAGGTCGTGGAATCTGAATCATGTTCCAAATATTCAGTGAGATGGAACCCGCAATTCCAAATATCGGAGTCGAGTTTTTTTTTGCGCGCCAAACCCAGCAGTGATATTTTTAATATTTTCCCAATTTAAATGATGTGCGTGCATCCTCGGTTTGCAATAGAAAGCAAGAACTTAAGAAATCGCTGAATGCATGAATCGAAGAAAACTTCTTTGTTTGCCTTCTAACTTACGCCTAGAGTACCGGTACGTACCGTACCGTACGTAGAGAATGAAAAAATAGTGGGGTGTGTTGATCCCTTCCATACAAGTGCACGTGTGAGTATCATATGCTCCTCTTCCAGTAGCCTAGCCCAAGCGTCGTTCACATCATTTAAGACTGGAAAGATACTGCGCAGTCGACAGAGCACAAAAAGCCGGTGGAACAACACCATCAGCGGAGATAGTAACAAGAAGTGAACAGGTTCTTTGGCAATAGGATGTTCGGAAGTGTGACTTGCGGCGCCCTGGAACCCTTTTTGTCGGTCGATGGCGTCGACGAGATTTTCAACGGCGTAGAAAAGAAGAAGAAGAAAGTACGGGTGCTTAGATGGAGCAGCAACGATGGCGACAGGGACAGAGATTGCGACAGCGACTGCGACAGCGACTGCGACTGGGCGATCGTGGTTGCAACCAGCGAATTCGACTCGAAAACCTACCACGTGCACCGCAGCGTCCTCGGCGCGGGGCCCAGGAAAAGTGTCTTTTTCTCGAAACTCTTTCGGAAAGGAAACAAGGCCGGAAGCAACTCGACGAGGATCCAATTGGATGAGCAGGATGCCGAGTCGTTCCCGCTGTTTCTCGATTTTGTATACGGTGCAGCCCCCGGTGCCGACGAAAGCAACTCCAAGTCGCTGAAACTGAACGTAAGAGAAGACTTTGGTGCGCCAAACGCGGTTTCCTTAAGACACTTAGCAAAGGTATTTGACTGCGAAGGTCTTACTCTTGCCGTAAATACATTCATTCAAAAGGATCTTTCTCTTCGGACGGGACCGGTGTATCTTGTAGAAGCCCACCATTATGAAGACAACCGACTCATCGAGTCTTCCAAGAGATTGTGCATCGAAAATTTTGCGCTATTGGATACGAGAGCGATTGTAGGTCTTCCCCCGGAACTCTTCCAATCCGTCATGTCCGGGGTCATCAGGAGAGCCAAGAGCGCTCACGAAAGTACTCCCGAAGAAGAAAACGCGCTTGGTTACCATGTCGGCGAGGTCGTTTGCCAATACTTTGAAAAAAATCCCCATGAACTGAGCGCCCCACTGCTTCTAGAGCTCACGGATGAGGAGGTCATAAAGGAAATTGCACCAGAACCAGCCATTGGGATAACGGCACTGATCCGAGACTTGGATGCAAAGGAGATAAGACCAAATTCAGGGGAATGGAGGGGCGTCGTTGGACTTTCTCAGCGTTGTGCACGGGCTATAGTACGGGAATACGGTTGGAAAGATTTTAATGTCAAATCGGCACTAGAGGAATATCTCTACGGACCATGTGCTGATGGCGATTCTTCCTCTACAAAACTGGATTCCTTACTTTTTGCCACGTCCTTTGCGGCAACTCTAGAGGGCGCTCAAAACGAGACGAGGACGCCATTCAAAAAACAGGGAGTAAGACTTCAACAACAAAACGATGAACTGCAACGGCAAAATCAGAAACTGAAAGAAGAAGTGGATCAATACAAGAGCATGGCAGCAAGCACAAAAGAAGAATACTTGCTCCTAAAAGAGCAAGTGAAGAGTCTAAAGCGGCGGCAAAATTTTTGATTCGACAAACCCTCTTGCACCGTATGAGACGTGCACTATCAACAACATCAAGCCGCCGGGGGGGATAAGGATTTCAATGTGGATAGTAGCATTCATAATGCATAAAGTACTACTTGCACCTGCACAAACTCCATTTCTTTTGCTCGTTGCGTTTCTTGTTTGCAGCGTTTATGATTTGTTACTAGAAATCCGTCCTGGGAATATTGGTAATGCTTGTAGTAGTAGTACTAGTACTACTGTCTTGCATTCGACAGGTAAACTTTGCTGTTGACGTTCTATTCTTTTGCTATTTCGTACTAGTGTGGCAATGTATCATTTTTGCCTCACAAGACACAAGAATGAAGCACAGCAAAGAAAAAGTGGTAATGGTTCTATTTCTTGTTCTTTTACTCGTAGTATAATAGTAGTAGTGAGTGAAGTTGATTCAAGGGGTTCAAATCTAACCTTCACTTCTAATATAACTGATACCACTGCTAATCCCTCTGTCCCTAGCAACAAATAGGAGTAGTAGGTGCTCTGATGGCATTGCAACAAGCACAATATTCCTCAATATAGATTTTTTTCTTTTCATCAGCATCCTGATCAAACCTAGTACGACGACTACACTAACAGCAGTATTCAAGAAATACTCTTTCAAAAAAGAGCCATAAGTTGATGTTTCTTGGCATGCAAATGTGATATTACTATTAATAGCACTGCTGATATAATCTCATGTATTTTTTTTACTACAAATTGCCACTCTGAATTTCTGAGTTATTAAAGGCATAATTCTTGGTTACAACAAATTTTGATGGTACAAGAAGATCACACTCCTTTTTTTCAACACAGTCACCAGCCACATTTATTAGTAGCAAAAGTGGCACTAACTTGAGGAAATGAACAATACAGTATTGCAATCACAGTAGATTCATGGTACTACCAAATTGACAGTACAGTCACATGACAACAGGAGGAGGACACTCCATTATTAGATGTTGTTATACTGGAAGATTAGTAGTAGTGGTAGTAGTCTACCACAAAGACAAAGAGGGCAGTTCCAAATTTTCTAAAAGCTGTCAAAGGGTGTAATAGTTTGATCATTCATCAAGTCATTTTTCTCACCAAAGCAGAGGAGGACAAAGAACCAATGAGAAGCTTGTTGTTGCTTAGTAGTAAGGAATATTCTCCTTGATGAAACAACAATACTTTGAAGAAGACAAATGATGAAAATATTAGTATGATGGTGATCACAAAACAAAATTGATTGCTGTGTACAATATAGTTGTTAATAGTAGTATACAGGAGGATTAGTAATAGGTGTAGTAATCCTGCATCACAAAGAGGGGGGCAACTCAAACTAATAGATACTATATAATAATCACAGAGGTTCTTGTCAAAGTCTGACCATACTAAGAATTCTGCTGTTGCTTGGTGAGCAATAGTCTCTTCTCCTTTTTTGCAGCAGCATGCATAAATATAGGGGGTAGATTGCTGCTGTCATGTTGAAGAGATTCTCTTTGTTTGAGTACAAAGGATATAATTCAACTAGAAATTCCATTCTTTCCCCCCAAACCTTGTCTCCTGCTCATTATTCATCTTTCTTTTCTAACACCACCACTGTACTAGTTCATTCTGGGGCTATTAAGTCTGAAAAACAAAGTACATTCAACAGTAATGAAAGAAGAACTTCTTGATTATCCTCATTCATGATATCACACCACCAGAGGCATGACTCTGAGTAGTATGCTGCTTCTGGAATTTCCTAAATGGGTCATTCCTGTGATTCTAAATTTTATTAAGAAAAATATAAATTTTAAATGACAAGCAAGAGCATTGTAGGATTAATCAGAGTGAAGAGAGATCAAAATAACTTCATGGTATTATTCTTTCCAAAAATTTACTATCTTCTTCTCCTTAAGAAGCTTTGTCTGCTACTAGTATACAGTTGCATCAATTCAATAGTATAGGTGAATGTGATGGAGGGATATCACTGTAGTAGTGGTGGTGGTACTGGTATGTTGGGGGCAAACATCACTGTACTACTAGTATTAGTAGTACAACAAGTAGTGACCTTACTTGTACTACAAAGTGTAATAGCTCATCGTCATCCAGATAAAAATGATTAGAATCTTGAAGTTTGAATGAATATTGATGCTTACACCAACAATCCAATAGCAGCAAGAATCAATCAAGAAATATATTATTGATAGATTGGTAGTACACCAGTCATGATCACCAGCAATCAACAAGCTTGAAAATTCTCCTCCTTGTGGTGGTGTGTGCAATCTACTAGCTGTCATTCTGTGATTTCTTGTGTTGTTGCTAGTAGTAATTGAGCGACTACTAGTGTTTTGCACTTGCTGTGCTGGTGTGTTTCAGCATGAGCCAGCATGCACATCAAAGCTGATAGTAGTAATAATGGCAATATTGACAAGAATGATGCAGGTACTAGTACTAGTACTAGTACTACTACTACTACTACTACTACTACTACTAGCTCTGTTAGTGCTACTACTACTAGTAGACAATTGAGTGTAATATTACTCATACATTGTAGAATTTTAAGGAGGACTACTAGTACTAGTACTGTACTACTAGTACCCCATAAAGAGAGTCATTGAAAATGTGATGTTGCTGAGAAAATACCATAATATCATTTCTTTCCACCATTTGCAACAAGTATCAAATGATGCTTTCCAACAATTCTTATCCACCACCATGCTGTGATGTAGCATGTGGTGTAGTATTTTTGCAACTTATTTTGCCACTTTCATATCTCAGGGTGTTTTGATGAAAGTAGATGGTGTAAACAATAAGGGAGGGTACCAATATAAGATCTACAAACAAGTCAATGCTCCTCAGGAGCATTGACTTGTATGTCAATAGTAGGCTACTATTGACATAAAAGACAAAAGTACACAACAACAACAACAACAACAACAACAACAACAACAACAGAAGTAAAGGTTGGTAGCAAAATATGATTGATTCAAAATTATATGGTACTACTTGCAATTATCAGTTAGTATCAAATTCTTTTGAGTTGAAGTTTTGATTGATCACCAATTGCCTTCAGAACAGACGAAAAAGAATTCCTAATTTCTTTTCACCATCATCATACTAGTAGTAGTAGTAGTAGTCCATCCCTGAATCAAGAGACGCTGGATCCTACAGAAGTTCTTCTTTGTGGCTTCAATGCTTTTGAAGGGAGAATTGTGAAGTGGACAAAGCACATGATTTGCAACACAGACTACTATTGGTCCTCCTTACTTGTAGTAGTACTACTCTTGCCAAACACATGAGTTAACTGCAAAATATGTCCAAGAGTTGCTTCTTAGTACTACTAGGGTATAATTCTTGTTTGTCTTAACCACAATTTGTGCATGATTTCAACCTAATATTCCTTTGCTATTGTGCTCCCACTTTACCACTATAATGGGCGGACAATACTAGCAATTTTATTTTTCTTTGTGGCGTCAATAAAATTAGTTCATATGTGCAAGTTGTGCCCACCAAATATAATTCCATCCATGAAGGACCCATAACAAAAACTAGTATTCTGCCACTATTGCATTGCACCCCCCCAAAAAAAAACTACTTTGCCAACTTTTTTACTACTGTCACCAATTTTTTCTCCAGTGTCCTATAATCTATTTTCCAAAAATAAATTCTCATTAAAGGAGTATTACTCTCAATTCTTTTTACTAGTACTCTGGACTACTATTCTATGGTATAAACGTGGCCACCAAATGTATGATATAGTCTTATATTTTGGGCCCTTATTAAATGAAATACTTACAAAATCCACGTGCTCAGTACTACTTGAATTTTTGAATCCCACATTTGTTCGACCAAATAATTGTGTGCACCTGCTCAACCAACAATTTTGGCTTCAAACACATGCAAATTGCTTAGTCAAAGTAGTCATTAGTACACGGTGAAAAGATAGCCCAAAATCCAAGCACAATACAAAAACATGTAGGGCATTAAGTGACAGTCAACTCACTTGAACAGCTATAACTTTGTCCCCAATGGACACTTGTTCACAATGATAAGCACATGAATTGAATCCCAGTAAAAAGACAAATTCAGTGATATGGGGGGTTATATGGGTTTATTGCATATTTAGTTATAGTACTGTATGTATATTGAGTATTAAAAACGTACAATTAAATCAGCCAGAAAAACGTAGCCAAGCAAGCTTATAAGATATTACTACTAGTGAAACAAATAGAATTCTCATAATGTCCAATACTAGTAGGAATTTCTAATTGTATTCTAGATCCTCTTCCTTTTCTGTTTCTTCTTTGTCAGACAACTCTGGTATTTTACCCAAACGATCCTCAAGCAGAGAAGAAGGAGCTCTAAATGCTGGATCACTACTATAGCTACTAGTAGTACTACTCTGCTGTTTCATTTTTGGTCTATCATTACTACTACCAATAGTATTGCTGCTGCTACTATGTTTTTTGTAATTACCACTCTCCTCCACGAACCTCTTTGTCATCTTTATCTCTAACTCCTTCCCTGTACTAGTACTACTAGGATCCTTGCTTAGCTTTGCTTTGGAAACTGTTAGCTAGTACTACAATAAGTTGCGCCTGTAGTTTCTGGTTCAGCGTACAACCCAAAAATAACCAGCACCAGCAACACCAAATTGTTTTTCCAAAGTAGCATCACTAGTACTATCACAAGAAATGGAAATAAAAAGAACCATTCACCACTTATCATTGGAGGTTCTTTCTATAAGAAAAGGAGAGTGCCTGCTTTTTCTTGGGTTCAAAATTGTACCTACTAAAATACTAAGCAGGTGGTGGTGGTACTACTACTAGATCATCATCATCATCATCATCATCATCATCATCATCAACATCATCAACATCATCATCATCCTCAACAACAACAAGAAATTCTTCATGGTAGAGACAGGAGGATGTTCTTCTTATTTTTCCTCCTCCTTCTTCCTCCTCCTCCTGTTCTTTGTTGTCTACCTCCTCCTCATGTTGCTTCTCCTCATTCATCCTTTTTTTGATTCTTGTTGTTGTTCTTGCTTGCTTCTTGCTCCTTGTCCTTCTTGTTGGTGCTTGTTCGTCTTGTTGTTGTTGTTGGTGCTGCTGCTGCTGCTCACTGGTGGTTAGTAGTACATTATACTAGTAGCAATCCAGAATAGTACTTCAATCCTTAGTCCATTGAGGAAAGGAACATTAGTAAAGAGTAATGATAATGCTGGTACATTATTTACAGCCTTCTATCATACTGGTGTTTCTTTGCCTGACATTCAGATGTGGTTTTAAGATTTTTCGGATTGATTTTGATTCATTCGATTCATTCACTTGCAAACTGAATCCAGTCGTTCCAGGACTAAACTGACGTACGAGCGTTTTTGACACCGACTCATCAAGACACATGACAACCACACAGTGTCTCATGAAGTTTGGAACGAGCATCGGTTGCTTTTGAAGCTCCGAAAATGCGACGACAACGCGATGTTCTACGCCTTCCTTGCTGACTTGTTTGCACGATGTATCGCTGAGTTTACCTAACCGTATAAATGAGTTGAGTAGTCCTTTGTTCCATCATCGCCCGCTCCCAACAAACCAACGGCATCCTGATCATACCAACGAAAACGACTACCTTGACACTAATACAACTGCAACTATGAAGTTTTCTGTCGCCGCAACCGCCTTGGCTCTCTCTTCTGCGACAACTGTTTCCTGTTTCTCTATTGCGCCGAACGGAAGGAGTAGTCTCGCATCTCTCCGAGTCGCCACATCTTCCGAAGAAGCCGTCGATTCGAGCGTCAACGGGGATGACGACATAGTCCGAAAGAGCGACGAGGAAGTCTTCTCGAAACACAAGAGGCCGACATCCTTTGCCACCAAATGCGCTTCCTTGTATCACCCAAACCCCGGCGCCGAGCGTGGACTGGCACCCCCGGTTTATTTCGGGTCCACTTTCTTGTTGGACGACGCCGCCCATGGCGCTCGTCTTCACGCAAAACGCGAGGAACCTTACACCGACGACGACGGATTCGTTTATTCCAGATGGGGTGCCCCCACCAACGAGGCAGCTGCGGTCCAGATCGCTGCCCTCGAAGGCGTAGACGATCCAAACAAGGGAGCCCTTGGAAAATGCTTGTTGTTCAACTCGGGAATGTCCGCCATCACATCGGCCCTCATGGCCGTCTTGAGGGCAGGAGATCACGCAATTTTCCCCTACACAGTCTACGGTGGAACCCATGAATTCGCCGAAAACTTTTGCAAAGAATGGGGCATCGAGGTGACCTACATCGACGCATCCGGTGTCGATGGACCAGAAAATTACAAAAAGGCCTTCCGGGAAAATACTAAGGTTGTATACACCGAAACACCCGCCAACCCTACCATGCGATTGACCGACCTAGAAGGCGTCGGAAGAGTCGTAACCGAACACTACGGAGCCGCCGAGGACACCCCCGGCAGCGATCCCAACGCACGAAAGCGACCCTGGGTGATGGTCGACGGCACGTTCGCGACTCCGTACCACCAACGCGTCCTGGACATCCCCGGCGTCGATGTCTCCATCCATTCCGCCACCAAGTATCTGGGCGGCCACTCCGATATCTTGGCCGGATCCGTCACGTCTCGTTCGGAACCATTTTTGCACGGATGCGCCAAGGTCCAAAAACTGATCACGGTCCCCCTCAATCCCATGGATTCCTTCCTGCTGGCCCGTGGGCTCCGCACCCTGGACGTTCGAATGCAACGACACGGCGAAAACGCCATCAAGATCGCCCGAATGCTCGAAGAACATCCCGACGTGGAATCCGTCTTCTACCCCGGACTGGATTCCCACCCCGACCGCTCGATGTCCGATGGAATTTATTCGTCGGGAAGGGACGAAGACGACGAGGATGGATTCAACCAAACCTACGGTGGAATGGTCACCTTTATCATGGCCGGCGAGGGCGACATTGCCCTCCAGAGAGCGCGAAACGTCTGCGAACACCTGCGGGTGATCAACCTGGCCGTGTCACTCGGTGGAGTCGAATCGCTGGTCGAACACCCGGCATCGATGACGCACGGCATGATCCCGAGAGAACAACGATTGGCCGGGGGTCTCGCGGATGGCTTGATCCGATTGAGCGTCGGATTGGAAAAGGCAAAGGACCTGATCGACGACCTGAAGAGCGCTCTGGATCGATGCGACGAAGAAGGCTGCGACCTCGACATCTAAAAAACAGGCCAACAGACCCAAACGCACGCACGCACGCACACGCACACACACAAACAAACAAACTGCAACTCGAACGAGGGTTTTTCGGCCGGGCGACGATGGTTGCGTCTAGCTAGGCTTCTACTGCACTTGCACAGATGGTTTGGGCGGGGTAAAGCTTTTGCAGAGCAAATTAGTGCTCCCTCTACCAAATTTTATAAACATACGTTTTATTTATTGTGTTTTCTCTTATTCTTAGTTCAGCGTACGTTGCCGTCATCGGAATCCCACAGGGTCGAAAGCAAAAAAAAAACATGAAACAATATCTATGAAGCCATGGCAACAAATTCTTACGAGCACCGTACAATGACGATGGTCTCTAGTTTGATTTCTTTCAAGCCGCGGGAACACGTTGATGCGAGTAGCACTCGTACAGTGCAACCACCGTCTCTCCACCCGCATCCAAGAAACTGCGCAAAAGGCCGCAGAAGGCAGGCAAGGTTCCAAGCCATGCGGTTTTGCGGCCGATGCTTGGCACACACCCAGCCCGCAAGCGGTGCGAAAAGCAAGCAGAAAAAGGACCGCCGTGGATCGATCTTCGGTCCGGCCACGAACCGCAACCGTCGGTCGGAAAGGGTTTTCTTTTCTCTTCGCATAGATGTGCACATTGCTGGGTGTTTTTTTTTCAAAAACCTTTTCGGGCTTCTTGATTTCTCTGCTCACCGAAAAAATTTAGAAAAAAATTAACACAACCTCCAGCATAGCAAGCTGTCACCTCTTTAGTTCTTCATCAATATCCAACCAATCGCGCTCACAAGACAAGTGTTCTAATCCTTACATTAAGGGGTAAAGGATGGCCTTTCCGCCCGCTCGAGGGAAGGAATAAAACGGGCCGTTGCGTTGCGTTGCGTTGCGTTGCATTGCATTGCATGGCTGCCTGCGCACGAGGCCGTGGCCACCGGCACGGCACCGCGGCCTTTCCGTCACATCACCACAGAACAATGTTTGCCCCCTCCTGGAGCCTCGAGTAGTAGCAAAAGCCGTCCGCGCAGTCCGAGCTCATGTGGATCGGGGCATCGGTCCGCCGGAGAAAGTCGTTCACAAAGGGATCGTTGTGGACGACCTCTGCGCTGGTGGTCGACAGAACGATCGCGTCGATGGCCTTGTCTCCTCCTTCGCCCGCCTTTCGGAGGAGGTCCTCCAGCTCGGTGGATCCCACCACCTCCGTGTTCCTCCAAAGGATCGAACAGGGACCGGCCCCCCCGGCGGAGGAACCGCCGTTTTCGGAACCGTCTCGCAAGCCGTGCTGTTGTTGTTGTTGTTCTTCGTCTTCTTCTTCCTGCTCGGAAACCACGAGGCAGAGGCTCTTGGCGCGGGACGCGAGGCGGGACACCCACAGGGACGCAGTGGAATGTTTTTGACCCTTCCGGGACGAGGGGGGGGCCGACCGGGAGCTCGCCACCAGCACGATCCGCTTGCCGGCCACCAGGCGGTGTCCGTCTCTGGAAAGGTGCTCCAGCATCCGCCGGATCCACTCCTCTTCGGGGACCGTTTCCCCGCGGTCGACGACCAGGAGGTTTTTTTTTCCCTCCGCTTTGGCACACCGGCGGGCCCGCCGCCCCTTTCGCGGCTCGCGACCGGGAAGTGTTGGCATTGTCGCTGTTTTCGTTGGCGTACGCACAAACCCCGAGACGCTAGAGTCCCTGCCGCCGGAGGAGAGTGCCAGCGCCACGAAAAGGACGCCTCGGACGCCCGGAGACAGCCGCATGCGAGTGCCGCTCGTTGGCAACGGGTGCAAGAAGCACGTACCGTACCGGGGTGCCTTTTGTGTTGGATCGAACGCACAACAGATGCGAGTGCGAGTGCGAGTGCGAGTACAAATACCCCCCCTTGCTCGTGCTTGTGCTGGCACGAGTACGTACCGGTACGAGTACGATTACGAGTTACCAATTCATGCACAAAGACCAAAGGCAGCAGGCCAGGAGAGAAAAGTTCTCTTCTTTTTTCGGAGGGGCACTAATGGACTTGGATCGCTGAAAGAGAATACGTACCGAATATACGGTGCGGTACGTACGTACGCCTTTGGCTGGAACTCATCGTTCTGTACTGCACACACGTGCAATTTCTCGTCTTCGTACCTCGGGATAGTACTCCTACGTACCGGTACGTACTGAACCCGTGCGAAAACCGTGGACCGATCGAAGGAAGAGATATTCTTCGCTGATCGTCGGCGGTACGTACTAAATCTGGTACAGTACGTTTTTCTGACAGTGCGTAGAAACTACGAGTTCTCGTATCGTATGGTAGGTACTCGTACGATACGATACCCGTACACACATTCTGACGGACGATCGATCATCTTGTTCTTTCGGCGGTTGTTGTGATTGCTCTCGAACGATCGTTCTGTTCATCGTTTCCTTACTTTACTCGTACCGTGCCATGCCATGCCTTGCACAACACCGGGATTCCCTCTCTTCGCAAAGTCTCTCCAACCAATGCCGCGGTAAGGCAGCGCAAGGCACCGCAGCGCAGCGCAACACAACACAACACAGCACAAGGCAACGCAAGGTACCACCCACACAACCAAACGGCAAGGGATACCCACCCGGATCTTGTTCTGCTCTCGTTCCGGCTCGAAGCCCGGCATGGCGGCTTTGCCCACCGGTTCCGGTACCAGCGGCTGTGATGGCGGTGGTGGTGCACCGGTCCCTGCCCTTCCACCGCTCCCCGCATCCCGAAGGCGGCGGGGTGCGGGCTTCTGCCGTCTCGTCCGCCGGCGTGCCACCAGCGCCTGGTTCTGGTTCTGCCTCTCTCTCTGTCTGGCTACTGCCCTTGCCTCCGCGGCCGCGGAGGGGGACCTCCCCCGGCACGGCGAAAGAACAGGAACAGGAACAGGAACCACCCGAGGCAGCATTAGCATTAGCAGCACCACCACCAGCAGCACTGCCAAACCGCCGCGGATGTCCGTTGCGAACATGACCTGCCGGTTCTTCGAGCAGCCCCTCAACCACTTTCTTCCCAGGGGCCGGTCCCCGTCGTACTCGGAGCGCTATTGTGTCTACGACGGCTATTTGGCGGACCGGGAGGCTTCCACCGGGAGCGGCGGTGGCGACACCGAACGGGGCGATCCAACGGCCCCGATTTTCTTTTACACCGGGAACGAATCGCCCCTGGAGCAGTACATCAACCAGGTGCGTGCATTGCCACAAACAATCGGAGGCAGGCTTCGGATGGTCTTGTTGTTGTGTTGTGTTATTCTGGTTTGGTTTGATGTGTTTTGCGTTGTGTTCTATTTTGCGTTGCTCTGGTTTGGTTTGGGCTTGATGCGATGCTTATATCCGATCCTAGTTTGATTTCCTGCTCCGTCTCACGGTTCCTCGCTTTTGTGTTTCACAACTCAATTTGCTTCCGTGAACATCGCATCGATTCGCAGACCGGGCTGATGTGGGAGCTGGCCCCGAGGTTCGGGGCAAAGATCGTCTTTGCGGAACACCGGTACGAGGGGGAGTCCCTCCCGGCAAACCTTACCACCGACTGCCTGAGCTACGCCTCGACGATCCAGGCGCTCGAGGACTACGCCAGGCTCCTGGAGGAGGAGGTCGACCCGGGGCACCGTTCCCCCGTGGTCGTCTTTGGGGGGAGCTACGGGGGGATGCTGAGCGCGTGGATGGTAGGTCGAGAGTTTTTGCCGAACCGAATCGATTCGATTCGATTCGATTCCATTGAATCCGATGGGAACGAGCCCCTGGATCCATTGTGTCTCTTGTTGCACGCTCACAATGCTTCCCTTTGTATCTCTTGTGGTATCTGTCTCTGTCTTTGCATTTGTTGTGTTCAATCGTGACGTCAAGCGCATGAAATACCCACACCTGGTGGCAGGAGCCATTGCCGCCAGTGCCCCGATCGGAGCGTAAGTCGATCGTCTCTTTCGTTGCGTTCGAAAGCTTTCCCTTTCTTCCCGGAACGGACGGGAGAACGGAGGAACGGGCGTCGCAAAACCCKGTGAACCCAAACACTCACTCTTGCTCTGCTTCTTCGTCTCTTTCTGGTTCTGCGCTTGAATTCATGGGTGGATGACGGAAAAATTCCCTCCGTGCCATGGCGGTGTTCCGTTGGGGTTGTCTCGTCAGTTTCCCCCAGAACGCCGATTCAAAAATCGATTCTTCCGCCCGTGTCCTAGCCAATGGCATCGATCGGCCCTATCCCCCGACGGCGAACCACCGGGGGGGGGAGGCCACCGTTCCCGACCGGCACAAAGGCCCTTACCTGCAGGGCACGACGCAAAAACAAGAGAGGCGCCTCGTTGCTCCGGCAGCGGTCGCCGCCGCCGCAAGAACCAAAGACCAACCACCGGGGCAGCAGCACCGATTGCCACCCCCCAAAAGGGGGGCCGGCGAAAACCACTGCCGGGACAACCTGCTCGCGTCCTGGCCCCTCCTTTCGTGGCTGGCCAAGCAGCAGGAAAAGGACCGAAGCATCGAGCGGCTGCTCCAGACGGCCTTCTCGATGTGCGATCCCCTCCCGAGCAGCGATGCCGGCCCGCTGATCCGCTGGGCGCAGCGCGTCTGGTTCGACCTGGCCGAGGGCAGCTTCCCGTATCCCAGCAGCTACATTCCGTTTGCCCTCCTCCACAAAAAGGTCGACCTGCCGCCGTGGCCCACACAGGATGCCTGCTGGAAGAGCAGCGAACTCCACAAGGACTGGGGGGTCCGGTTCCACGGATCCAGGGAGGACGTCAACTATCGAATCAGCTACGGAGACAGCGGAATCAGCCTCCAAGTGGACTGGGACAGCGTGACCCTGGTTGGCAACGAGAACGGGTACGAGAAGCAAGGACCGTCGGCCATTGAGGAATCCGCGGACGTCGTTGGTTTGCTTACCAGTGTGCGCGATGCCGTGTCGATCTGGTACAACATCACGAAAGACGTCCCGTGCTACAACATCTCGCAAGCCGCTCCCAATGCGAGGACAATGCGGAGGACGAGGACCGGGACCAAACTGCCGTTGCTTTCTCCATCGCCACCGGTGGAAGGCTACGCCAGAGATGCCTATGGCGATCCGTTCGGTCTCACCGAAGCCATTGGATCCAAAACGGTCGACCCGGAAAGAATCTGCCACGAAGCGATGGTAGAGCAGGGAAGCTGGGGGCTGCTGTGCTGCAACGACGAGATGAACTTGGTCATCACGGATGCCCAGGGCACGGGACACGATTTTTTTTGGCCTCCCTCCCACCCCAGATCCGTAAAAACCTATCGAGACATGATCCGAAACTCGACCTTCGAACCGTGCGCGGATCCGTACGGAATTTACGGTTATTCGAAGGAACCCATCGACCCGATGTCGATGCGGCTCGATGCGTACTACGGGGGAAGCAACACGAAGGGTCATTCCAACATTGTGTTCTCGAACGGTTTGCTCGATCCTTGGAGTGCCGGTGGCGTATACAGGGACAGCGTGCGTCTCGAGGAATTCTTTGACGAAGACAAAGCCAAGGTCCAAAAAATCAACGAGAACGACGTCGTTGCACTCATCATTCCGTTTGGAGGTCACCACACCGATCTTATGTACAGCGACGACTCGGATCCCAATTCCGTTACCGAAGGAAGAAAAATCGAAGAGGAATACATCGAAAGATGGATTCGTGATTGGAAACCATAGGTTTCCCGCAATGTCTATACGCTTTGGAGTACACGTTGGGGTTGGAAAAATTGATGGTATTTGATTTAATTTATCATAAGAAGCGTGGGATAACCCCTGGGAATGCTCAGCGGGAACATTCAATCGATGGGATTTCAATGGATTTTAGTTCATCACGGACCTAGGCGAATGGTTCCCAATGATTTCGTCTGCGTGATCGACGTAATCGTCGTTGGCTTGCGTGCCACAACTTGCGTATAGTATCTCGAGTCGAGCACTGCACGCATCAATGCTGGCCGGTTCTTCATAGCCATTGCGAAGAAGCAGATCTTCCCGAACACCTGTCAGCCAGGACTCCGACAGCCCCAGTATACTAGAAGCGGTCGAAAGAGCGGCCAGAGCAACCACCGAAGGTTTCAAAGGAACAAAGTAGTAGTCGTGGACGGAGAGCTCGACAAGGTAAATCGCCGTGTCCTTCAGCTCGATATTGTCTCCTGCGCAAAATAACTCGACAAAGAAAGAAATGAACACCTGCGGCGTCGGTGGATGGAGAAGCCACTGCAAACGTTTCAATGCGCTTTTCTCCATCATTTTCAATTCTTCCGACGAGAACTGACCTCGGCCTAGGCGGAGAATCACTGTCATTATTGAAGCTTCCGTCTCAGGTGAACTTGAATCTACTTCTCCATGAACCTTGATCGCTAAACATAGCGCCGCCATCGCAAGCAATTGGAAACAGTTCTTGTCGCGCAGCCATTCCTCGGCATGCGAGGCAGTACAAATTCGATCTATGTAGTTTAGAGTAATGTACACGATATCACGCGTGAAGTTGAAGTGGTCTGCAACTGCGACGAAGATAGAGAGCAAAATTGGATTCCAGATGGCCAGCGAATGATACAGAAAGCATTAGATTGGCGCACATCGGTGTAGCAAAGAGATAACGGCATCGTATCCATTCGCAACGAAAACATCTGATCTTCTCACCTTGGTATAACCATTCGCATATTTTTCCCCGCCAATGTATTGCGCGCTGCTGGTCAGTCGATGAGCTCGAGGTGGAGGTTTTTGTTTTCTTTAGCTCTACCGAGTCACTGTTTCTTCTCTTGCCGCAACCCCGCAGATACCCTTCGTTGTATGAAACGTTTGGTGATGTATTCTCATCGTTGGACACCATTGAGACGCCAGAATCATGCCACGGCGATGATAAATCAATCACGTAATCCCTTACCGCGTATTTCATTTCCTGACATAGCAGTGCGCCTAGCTGTTGTTGTAGTTCGACCATCGTTTGAATTTGCAGCGGACAAAAAAAATGACGGATTTGAAAGAATCTGCAATCCAGGAGAGAAAAATAGTACACGGGAAAGACTTCTAAAACGCGTTGATATTTTTCTGCGGACTGTCAAGGCTTCTTGGAGGTTCATAATCAAATGAGAAGACCAGTTCAAAAGTTCAACTTGTGTAGAGAAACAAAGCTGCTGCGGAATCAAATATTTTTATCAAGCCTATTCTAAAATCACTTAGGGCGGGATTTAAGCGGGATCTAAGCGGGATCTAAAATCGATCAATACGGGATTGAAATGGTTCGGACGATACACATACACTACGGTACCGAACCCGCCGTTACAACTTAACTTGGATGCGAGGTGATCCATTTGAAAATGACAATTAGGCATAGGTACACTAAAATTTAAAAAACGGTTGCGATCCGTGTCCCATAAGCAAAGTCTTTGGTCTACTTTTTCATCGCTTATCCTTCCCGCGCATCACGTGACGTTCGTTAAAATTTTTGTGAAATCTTTATTTAAGGTTGTACCTTGCATGCAGATGAGTAGGAATAAGAAATCCAACGTCTAAAAAAACACTTATTGTACTTTTTCTACAATTTCATTAAGTACTACTTTCGTCGGTTCCTATTTTCGTACGGCTAGGATTTAGTAGTAATCAGAGTCAAGCATTCCGGAAGGCGTATATCATGCTCTCACGTCCATCGCATTGTTCCACGGATCATAATTTTTCACGACCTTCTAGTAGATCACGTGATGTTCGTAAAAAAATGCATTAAATCCTCCTTGAACGTCGTACGTACCGTGCAGAAGGTATGTCAATCCCAACTTTAAATCAACGATTATTGTTCTTCTAGATTAAAAGTACTTATTGTTTTCGCCGGCTTAGTCTGTTTCTAATGTCACGATATTAGAACATACCCTATCCTCCTGAGTAAGTTCAATTCACCAATAACAAGTCTTGATTTTCATCCCCGGATTTTAGGGCTCTATCTGGGATGATGTTCTTCTCTGACGTATACATCCTGTCGAATGATTCTCATGGTGTTCTCAAGACAGATGAGAAGAACTATATGTAATTTGTTGCGATTTAATGTGCATTAGGTGCGCTTGAAGGGGTTCGGGAAAACAATGGCCTACGGCATCTTCTATGGAAGAATACTGACGAAACTAGATGCCATATATATGCCAACTTCAAATTCAAATAGGTTTTGTAAGAGAAATGAGATGAACGATAAAATAGTAAGTAAATAATGAGCACTAATGTACACATACTTTTGGATTGTAAAAAATTCGAAGAACTGAATCTTGGAACTCACTTAGCGTCCGTGACGTAATTGAATGTCACACAAACATCAGAATCATTTGTGTTCTAATTGGGTCATAGTGTCCTAAATTTTTCGCGTCTTGATAGCGCACTGCGTGTGTTCTGGGCTCATTGGTAAGAAGTTTGTTTCTCAAGTGCGCATTCCACGCTCTGCATTTTTTGCATTCCTGTGTGTAGTCATTTGTCTGTAGAATCAAGGTAGAATACAATACTAGTTCCTCTCCTTTCTGCCAGAGGGGGGTTCGTATCCGTGTCCGTTTACGGGGATACAATTGACGGTTTGCACGAGAAGAAAAACGAAATTCCGTAAATCTGCCGAGCACTTTTTTCTCAAGGTAAACGATCATTCGCTACATGGATAATTTTTGGCTAGGCCCACGCGATCCCTGCTACGACCTTCTTTCACAATCTTTCGGGCTTGAGCATTGTACGGTTCTCGTTGACATCAAACAACATCAACAAACAGAACAACAATGGTGGATGGTGGTGAACGCTTGCAGGTCCTCCTTACACAGGAAGCCACCTATTATCAAACATGTGACTACCTTTCGAGAATGCAAAGTCGCGCCAGAGCACAGGAGGCTGTGTTAGAAGCGGCGGCGGCGGCGGAGCAACGATGCTCCTATTCCGCAACTGATTCATCGGAGCCATCGAGTCCGAAAAAACGCAAATCCTGGGAGGATTTGACTTCGGCAGGAGAAACATCTGAAACACAACAGACTGAGCAGCACCGAACTGTTCCAACCACTGCCTCAACTTGCGCAAGCAGCACCGGAGCCGGAAGTGTGGGATCTGCTTCTTCGAGCACATCTCAAATTAACAAGCACTGGAGAGAAAAGATTTGTGAATGGGCTTACCAAGGTACGATTTTCTTCACATGCTTTACTTGAAGTTCAATAGAAGTTGAGACACAGCCAATTCTTTTCTTATAATCGCGTATCAATGCTTTCCTTCTCACATCAAAACCGATTGTCTCTTCCTCCGCTGGACACTCCACGTTGATTTCCTTTCAGTGGTCGATCACTTTGATTTGAACCGCGAAGTAGTCAGCACTGCAATGAGCCACTTGGACCGATACCTTGGAGTCTACGATGGAATCGTAGATAAGAATCTTTTTCAATTGTTGGCAATGACTTGCCTATATCTCTCGATCAAACTCAACGAGTATAAACATCTACTCATCCCTGGATCCAAATCTTCCATGGATACGATCCTACAACTCAGCCGAGGTTTCTTTACTCTAAAGGAAATGGAAAGGATGGAGTACGAAGTCTTGCAACGTTTGCGATGGCACGTACATCCACCAACGGCACAACTATTTGTAAAACACTTTCTCTTCTTCCTCTCGGTTGAAGAGCACGAGCTTCATGACCTCGCACAATTCATGATCGAACTCTCTGTCATGGATTACTTCTTTGTTTCTTACAAACCATCCGAGATCGCTATGGCCGCTCTTCTTAATTCGATGGAGCGTCTGGGCAAGAATGCCTCTGGAGTGAAGTTCCCAATAACGATGTTCATCGATATTCATTCTCCCGCCATCGTTGCCTGCAGAGAACGCCTCTCTCTGATTTACGCGCAAGCCAATGAACAAGGAGGTCTCGACGAAGCCGGTGTGACACCTCCAACGCCCGAAGCTACAGCGGTAGCTCCCGAGCCTTCTCGATTACAACGCACAATTTCTCCCGTATCCGTTATGGCTCCCCCTGAGCCAAACGAGAGTACACTCCAATCATACTCATCTTCGCAACAGAGCACATGCCAACAACAACAACAGCAGCAGCAGCAGCACCTCCTAGATGAAGACGTTATGGAAACGGACGATTATTTCGTGGGTGACTACGATGGTTTATATTAAGCCAGGTAGCTCACTTCGACTACACATGAGAAGAACTGGCCATCAACTTACAGACTTTTTTGCACGGTAACACTATCTTCCGTCTGTGAGATGGCCTTAATTTTTCATACAATGAATATGCATACAACAAGATCATTTCCTACACAACAGCAACACAGGCGCCCTGTATTGCACGACACTACAAAAATAGCAATATGTAAAATTAGCAGCACTACAGCACTATCCATCCTACAAGCTACTGTAACTTAAATACTTCGAAGCCATTGTTTGTTCTAATGGGACTGGTCTTACTGTAACACTTGTACTCGCTCTCCACTAGTCCCTACGAACCACGAAAACAATCGCCATTGCGGAAATACGTGATGTACGGGTACTTGTACTGTCCTCATCGATCACAATGATCCAATATTCTCCAAAAAAAAACCGGCGCATTGTAATAAATACATTAGTTCAAATAACTAGTACAATCTGGTACTAAAGCAAAGCGTTGCTTGCCTTGATCGGAACCAACTGTGTTTTCAAATTGATCAAGTACGGCCCATCGGAGAGAATGAAAAAAATCGCAATTAGCGTTCCGATGTGTGGACAACGCCAGATTGCAAATGATTGGAAGCAGGATCGGGCCCGTGACGGGCACAAAATGAACCACGACAGGGGGTTCTTCTTTGATTTGAACAGATGTGTCACATACGAACGTTTTGCCTGCCAATACGATCGATTCAAAAAAAGTCTCCACTTAGGGATCTCCGATCCTATTAATTAAGTGCGTCCACAATGACAAATTCTTGGGACCGTGAACGATCGTACGGCTTGTACATAATTCCAAAGTATTCAGATGTTCTACGGAAGCAGAATTTTTTTTAAAAATGTGGCGGGAAAGTCGCCACACGCAACGGCTCATACTTTCAACGCATTTCTATGGAATACACGTATGTTCCTACCGATCACGTAGTATGGATTTTACATGGTTTTTGTTTTTGAGAAAGCTGTGGATCGGACCGCTCGGAAGATGCATCCGATGCGTTACGATCGTACGACGGTGAAATGGTCGGATTGAAATTCCTTCCTTTCTGGCGGCCAGATTCTTGAAAATACGGTTGACGGGAGAGAACTTCCGTGGGAGAACCGCTCGCGACTAGGGACTGACTTATCCGTGAATCAAAAATATCTTGGCCATTGTTTTCTCTTCCGAGTACAAAATGGAAGATTCCCGGAGCCGGATTTTCGGATCCAGGGGGTGCCGTTGGCAGTGCGTGGTTGTTCTGGGCCATCTGTTCCTTGTCGCGCAATTCCAAACGAATTCCCCCATCGGCAGAAGAACAAGAGAATCCGTGTCCCCTCGTGCGTATCTTGGGAAGAGCCTGTGGCCAGGGACGCAATTTTGGTGGATTCCTCCACGGGCCCGCACGGGTGCTTTCGAAGCGGCTCCCCCGAGGCATATCACTGTCGGAAGCACGGAACTGCCGTTATGGATCCGGACGTTTCGTCTGCGGCACCGGCTTGTTCCATAGAAGGTTTTACATCCCCACGATAACTCATACTCGTACGCTGCCGGGGACCACCTGCTTCCGATTCCGCGGTTTCTTCGGTGCCGTCCCTCCCAGCGAAGATCCACCATCGGTGCAACCGCAATCTGCGGAAGGTGCTCGCTTCGATTGTTCCCTGGCAGATTGCCCATCGGCGGATTTGGTTGGAGAATCGGGGGGTTCCGCTGCCGGGAATGGGACGGTGGCAGGGAGACAACAGGGGTGGGAAAGCGAATGGAATGGATCCAAAGGATCGAGGAATCCGATCAACAAAGGAACGAACGAATCCTGCTCGCACCAAAAGAGATCTCCGATGAACCCCCACCCAAACGACAGCTGCCGAAGAGCAATCCGATCCGAGAGACTTATGGGCCGCAGATGGTTGGAAGGATGCCCGGTGGGAGCGTTCTCGGGCGGACAGAACGGGCCGTCTAAAATCGTTGTGGATCGAAACGAAACGAAGCGGAGCAAAAGAAAACGAACCAGTGGAAGAGTCTCTGTGCGAAGCACCCATCGGAATCGCGAGCAGGAAAAAGCAGCAAGAAGCAAGCAACAATCAACCGATGCGGGCATGGCAGCGAAAAAACGAGTGTGCGGGTTGAATTGTCGGCACATGGAATTGCGCAGCAGCGCAGCGCATCGCATCGAATCAAGGCAAAGGGAAGCAGCAAGAACCACGGGGTCTGCGCTTTGAAGGATGCGAAACGGGAGGCAATTCCTCCTCCTGGTGGGGCTGATTACCTGCCCGCTCGGAATCCATCCATCCCGGTTCATTGCGGCGATCAGGTTGTCGATCGCAAGGATTGTTTACCATGAGTACATACTAATACTTCCTTAGTCCCATTCCATTTCGTATTGTTTCTTTCCATTGGGTTTAAGGTTTACTTTGAATCGTTTTTTTTTTGTTGAATTGTTGGATTTCTATCGGATTGCACAAAACCCACGGGACCGTGGTCAGTACGCCGATAACTGCGTCGACTGCGAGAGCTGCGTGTCGGTCTGTGTCCCGCCCAGGGCACGGTAGCGTTCGAAAATGTCTCGGTCGGTTGCTTGTGTCGGTTCCAGCGACGAGTCGTCGTCGTCGTCGTCGTCGTCGTTTTCTTTGTTCGCGGTGGCCTCGTCGCCTGGTTCTTCTCGCTCTCGGCCTTCCATCTCGTCGTCGCTCTCGCTCTCTCCATCGCTCTCTCCATCGCTCTCGTCGTCGTTGTCGAACTCGACGTGGAGGCCCGCGCGGACCGCGGAGGGGTCCGTGCCCCCGGCCCCCGTCCTTCCCAGGACGGCCACCGCACACTGCCACTCGCCCCGGGAGGGGTTCGAGAGGGGGGCGACAAACCGGCACCCGGCGCGGCCGTAGTGGACCCCCTCCTCGAGGTACTCGGCGTCCAGGCCCAGGACGACCAGGTCCGGAAGGGGGACCAGCCCCATGGAGTGGTCGCACCTCCAGTAGACGGGGCCGCTGGAGGGGGCCAGGAGGGAGTGGGGGGACAGGTGGGACTGGCTCAGGGCGTGGTACAGGACCATGGAGGCCAGGGGCCGCTCCGGGGAGTCGCGGCGGGGGCCGTCGGCCAGCAGGCGGTGCCGGAGGGACTCCCGGACCAGGTCCTTCCGGAGCAGGACGACCCTCCGGCCGTCGGAAAAGTCCAGCCGGCAGGGGTTGGTGCACAGGTGGACGGCCGCGGTGCCGCTGGCGTTGGAGTGAGGGTGGTGGCCGCGGTTGCTGTTGCTGCTTCCGCTGTTGCTGCCGCCGGCCAGGAAGGGGTGGAGGGAGGACGGGGTCTCGCGCCTGTCCCAGGCCGGGAGTGGCCAGCAGGCGTTCGATCCAACGTCGGCCGGGCCGGGGACCAGCAGGACCGAGTGGCGGGCCGGGATCTTCTTCTCGGCCAGGAGGGTGGCCAGCTCGTCGAGGGCCGCGGCCGTGGAGAGGCCCCCGGGGGTGCCAAAGTTTCCAAAGAGGACCAGGACGGCCCCGACGGTTCCGCTGCTGCTTCCGTCTCCGCCCGTTTCGCGGACCATCCGGTCCACGACGGCTCCCACCCGCTCCAGGCAGCCCGCCTCGTCCAGGCAGAGATTCGACAGGGCGTAGATGGGAACCGGGGACTCCACCGCTTCCGGCCCGTGGGCCCTTCGGCCGGAGGGCCCTCCCCCCGGCGGGGGCGGGAGAATCCGGGCCGTCGTCTCCCTCGGCTCGAGCGGGGGCAGCTCTACCGATCGGCAGGAAAAGACCGTCCCCGACGGGGATTCCTCGTGGGACCCGGTGGCCAGAACGAGGCTCCCCTCGAGAAAGACCCCGCGGTCGTCCAGGGCCGTCGCGGTCGGGTCGATGCGCAGCGGGACGCTCCCGGTGGGGTCCTCGAGCTCCAGGCCCCCTTGGTGGCTCCGGAGCATCCCCAGCAGGGTCCGCTCGGTGGTGTGGATTTTGGCGTGGGCTTTCCCGCTAGCGGTCCCCAGAAGCCGATCGATGGTGGTCAGCGGGGACTCCCGGTGGTGCTCCCGGTGCCGGTCGACCTTTTGCTTCACCAACTCGTACCGCTGGATCCTCGCGTCCATCAGGTCCGACGCCGTTCCCATCAGCAGCGACGACGACGACGAGGAGCCGTCTTTCGGATCGTACCGGAAGCGGCGCCTCAGGGAATCGTAGACCAGCCGGGGGGTCTCAAAGGCCGAGACGATCTTCCACGGAGGTCGGTAGCTCGTCGGCGCCTTGGTAGCGCTTCCGCGGCGTCTTCCGGTGGCCGATAGCGCCCGACTTTGTGCCTCCTCTTCCCCGGGTCGCTCTCCTTCCTCCCGGAGGACCACCTTGGATCGCTTGGATCCGGTCCCGGACCGTGGAAGGATCGCATCTTGCCGGTGGCCTTCCTTCCGCTGGTCCTCTTCCGTGAGGACTTCCTCGACCAGCGAGAGGGACAGGAGCCTGGAAGAGGAAGAAGGCCCGCGGGGCGAGGAGGCCAGCCGGTCCCTGCAGAGGGCCAGGAACTCCAGAAACCCCGCGGACTCGGCCCCGCCGCGGGCCTCCAGCTCCCCCGCCAGGACCTTGAGGGCGCTCGGCTGGACCAGCAGGCCGAATTTCTTGCAGGCCCGGGCCAGCTGCCGGCGGTGGTTGCCGGTGGTAGCGCTTCGCCCGAACCGTTGGTTGCCCGGCATGATGGGATGTGTGTGTGTGTGTGTGTGTGTGTGTGTGTGTGTGTTCTTTTGTGTTGTTTTGTGTCTGTCCTTTTTTGGAGCGTTTTTGGTCGTGCTTTTTTGGGTTGCGTTGCGTTGCGTTGCGCTGCGCTGCGTTGAACGAACCTTCGCTTGTTTCGATTTCCTTGCTTTCTTKGTGTTGGATGGGGTTTAGAAAAACGGTGGGCGTTGCAATGCCGTAGCAAAAACCTTTCGAGAAACACAAGAGTTGCTTTTGGTACCGTATGTTTCGTGTCGTGTCGCGTCGTGTCGTGTCCTTTTGTTGCCGCTTCCAAACCTTTGTCGCGTGTCATTGTACCGCATCTGCAGCGGTACGGCAATGAGAGAACGTAGTACTGTACGGTTGGAGCGTAGCAGGCACAGTACTAAACTTTCAACCGGTGATCATAGCTCTGTACTCACCATACTTCTATTTCTTTTCGCGCCAAAATTATTCAGAGCAAGATTCGATACGGCGCGCCACGCAGTTCCGTGCAATGCAACAGTTTCGTACTTGTGGTAGATACGGAAACTACGTACCGTACCAAAGACGAATTTCGAAAAAGTCGCCTCATACTCTCTGTTTTGGATGAAATGAATCGATTCTCGTCGGCATCTTCAAACTGGAAGCGTTATTCCTTGCTTCGCAGTACTAAAAGCAATACCCCGTGCCGCCCTCCTGTTTTGGTGGCAATTCCTCGGCAAGTAGAGTATTCAGAATTCAGATGCTTTTCAAAAAGCTACCGTTGCATACCGTGATGGGTGTCGACATTTTGTCACTCAAGCTAATTTATTTCAAATCTGATTGACATTCTTATGATTTTTAATACCTATGCTATGCTGTAGGGATGGCCGGCTGTTCGTGGCGAGTGTAGGAATCGGAATCGTCGGTTGTCACCGCGATGAGCTCCGGTAAGCACCACGCTCGACAGAAATTGCGTGGTGCCCGTACCATGCGCTTCACGCAACAAAAGCCCAGCGCGGCAGCAAGCCAACGACCCGACTCGCAAGGTGTGCTCCAGGTCCGGCCTGGGAAAGTCACCGAACAACAGAAAGGTGTTTCGCGAAACGAATCGAATCGCGTCGCCCGCCATCGGGCAGAGATGGCGTGTGGTGCTTTGTGCTGGCTGTGTACGGCAGTGCCATGCCGCCCGGGCATCCCCGATGGCACCTTGTGTGTCGGCGGTGCTCCTCCCCCATCCCACCAACGCGTACTTGACTCTTTCCACACTGCAAACCGGACACACTCGACCTACCCAACTCGACCTACCCAACCGATAGGGCAATACAGGCAAGATCACCACGCCGGGAACCACATTTCGTTCGTCTCTCGGTTGCGTCCGTCGCATGCATCGGTGTCGGACATGATACCGTCGTCTCTTGCTCGGAAAAACCGATCGCTAGAGGCTCTCCCCGATCCGCTCGGCAACGATCCGGCTCCAGGCAATGTCCCTCGGCGTGAAGCTCTTGGCGGCGTTCCCCCCCAGCACCAGGACGCTGTTTCCGCTTCCGCTTTCGCTTTCGCTTTCGTTTTCGCTCTGCGCTTCGCCGCCGGCCGCGATCGGGAGCATGACCGCCATCTGCGCGTTGGGGGGCAGGTAGTTGAGCTCGGTCCTCCCCGGCAGGGCCTGCAGCGTGGGGAGGTAGGTCTCCCGGGTGTTCCCGGGGGAGCCCACCCGGTCCAGGATGGGGGTCTTGCCCGGGACGGGGGCCGGAACCGGCGGAACCACCCCCGCCCGGTGCAGGACGACCCATCCCCCATCCTTGTCGCTTCCCAGCAGGACGGCCGACCTCGCCGGGGTCGCCCCCAGGACCGATTCCAGGCCCCAGGCGACCTCCGGCCCGGGCCGTTCCCCGCTGGCGCCACCGACCGATTCCGGCGAAGGCAGCGCCTTCCCCTCCAGGACCACCGACTCCGCCAGGGCCGTGGTGACGTCGAGCTTGGTGACGCCGTTGAGGAGGACCGACCCCGCCGCAAAGACCCCCAGCAGGTCGGTCCGGGTCTGGTAGGTCAGGGCCTCGGCGGCGGCGATGGAGGCGGCCGTGGACCCGTCCGAGGCCGCCAGAACAAGGTTCCAGCGGTGGACGACCACCGCCAGCAGCCCGATGGCCCCCGAGGCGATCGAGAAGGAGTCCGAGGCCACAACCGCCAGGAACCGGTCCAGCGGGTTGCCCCCCACGAAGGAATCCCCGCCGCTGCTTCCGCCGCCGGTGGTGGAAGCATCGATCCCGCGGAACTTGACCCGGGGGGAGGACGGCGCCGCGTTGGTTTCGTCGTTGTCGTCGTCGTTGTCGTTGCTGGATTGCAATGCCAGGGGAGCGGCCCGAAGCCGGTGGCGTTGCGGAACCAAAGCCCCGGAAAATCCGTGGGCAAGCCGGAGCTCCGTGCCGGCAATGGCCGCCAGAGCGAGGAGGGGGGTGGTCTTCATGGTGGTTCTTGTGCTGCTTGGTTTTGTCGGTTGCGGTGTGTTGTGTTTTGCGGCTGTGTTTCTAGATGCGTGTGGTGCTTCGATTGGATCCTGCTGGTGGTGGCGGCGATTCCTGTCTCTTGCTCGTTGGTTTCCTCGATCCCTTGCGACGGATTGCCCTCGGTGGTTGTGTTTGAGTGAATTAGTAGTAATTGACTGACTGACCGCTGACTCCAACAACGAATACCGTTCAATAGTAGGTACCAAATACTCGTACGGCAAAGTACGGTACGTAGCGCACGATACAAGGCAAGGGCTACCGTCTCGTCTTGTACGGTACGTACCGTACTTGCTCGTACGTACACGATCTTTTTGATTTCATCTTTCTTCGTCGTCATCAAACATCAACCCTCCACAAAAAATCTTCGAAATGGTACGGAAAGGTATGTATTATACGTATCTTAAATACCTACAAGTACCTCACGCATGGTAAAGGTAACTAAGGAACTGAAATTCAAAGAAATATTACTTCTAGTAAAATACTTAAACTAGCTACGATAGAAATGAATAGTATTATGAATTTGTCAATCATGGTGCGTACGATGTGACGATCCATTTCGACGATGAGCTCTTCTCCCAAAGAAAGCTCCCAAACGCGTTCACTTCCGTCGTATACCCTTACCATGTGCTGTTCTGACACGACGAGAGAGTAACGCCAGAAACCTTCGTTCCTATATCTTTACGGTGTACGGCTTTGCATTTCGGATATAAACGGAACGTATTAGCGCTCCTTGGCAAGCAAGGATTTTCTGTCTTTTGCAGTCCTCCCAGGGAGCATTCAGAAAAGCAATGGTGTGGGTACGCGAGTAGTGGATTGATTGGCTTTGGCACCATTCCTAGTCGTGGTTTCTCCGCTCTTCCCCTAGCGGCTATTGCCGGTCTTTGTCCCCGGCGGAATAGTGCTCCACCACTTCCTCGAGGCTCGCCGCCAGCTCCTCCGGGGCAGAGGAAGAGTACGCCACCCGCCTTTTCTCGGTCTCGGCAAGCCCCGGCAGCGCCAGGAAAAAGGCGTCCTCGTCGATCCACTCGATCGCCCCAAAGTAGTCCAGCGCCCTCGCCAGGGCGGCCTTCTTCGCCCCTTCGGAAACCGCCGCGGAGGAGAGGACCCTTCCGATCTCGTCGACCGTCGCCGGGGCGTCCGGCAGGCCCGAGGCGGCCCAGGCCCGCTCCTCCTCCACGGCGGCCTCGTCCACGGGCCGAGGGGCCAGCGAGACGGTCCGGGACTCCGTCCCGGGCGCCGGGGTGATCCCCCTCGCGTAAAAGTACACCGGCCCGTAGTCGAAGCAGAGCTCCTCGCCGGCCGCAATGTCCCGGATCGCCCGGAACCGGGCGGAGGGCTCCGGGGCGAGGCTGGTTTCCACCACCAGGTTGGGCCTTTCGTCGTGGTTGACGAACCGGGACCAGTGGCCCGACCGCTCGGCGTCGATGCTCAGCTCCGGCGAGAGTCGGAGGCAGTAGTCCGGCCAGGAGTCGGGGTACCGGGCCTCCTGCTCGGCAAGGGTCAGGAGGTCCCCCTCGTAGCCGCAGACGACCGTTCCGTTGGCGATGGGCCCGGTGGCAAAGACGCCGTAGCCCTTCGGGGGGGAGAGCCTGGTTTCCACGGGGGCTTCCGGGGGGGGACGGCCGGGGGGGGTCGATCCGAGGCCCAGGAGGAAGAGCGGGAGGGCCTTCATTCGGTGTTGCCTGCTTGGTCCGTGGCGTGCCTTGCCGTGCTGTGCTGTCGTCGTGTTCCTTAGTTGTGCTTGGTGTTGTACGAGTTCGAGTACGTACCGTGCAATGTGATTGGATTCACGTTGATGCAATTTGGATTTTTGTTTCTGTGCACAACGTAGCGGTACGTACGTATGTACGTACTCGTATTTTCTTGTCCGTTTGTGGAAGCCGTACCGTACGGTATCTTGCATGTTCTTTATGGTACATATCCAGCGTATGCACATACAACACTATTGTACTTTAGGTTTGTACCCGCACATACAGAGAACGAACGCAATTCATGGGATCTGTCATACAATGAAAAATCTATTCGTCATAGTTGTTGTTCAGCCATTGCTGACGTCAAACCTACATAGATGGATTGTTGCAATGCGATCCTGTATGTCATTGTTTGGTTTGGTTTGGATTTCGAGAAAGCGATGCAAATCTAATGGGTCTGCCCTAGGGCAACATTTGGTTCGAAATGGCGCTTGCCACTGCCATTGTAACACTTCCATCGCAACACTTCCATCGCAAATACAATCTTGCAAACAATCCGAAAATAATGGATATCCCTCATCCACAATTCAAACCGAGTCATCGGAAACGTCCCTCGTATACAATTTCGGTGCTTTACTTGATATGAATGTACCAGTTCCTTCATGTAATGTTCTTGTTGCCGCTGCATTGTCGTATATGACGTAGAACCATTCTTGTAGCATGCTCCGGTAGCAATCATGCGATAATTTGATGGGAAACGACTTCGATTGCTTTCTCCGTATCTCTAAAAAATAGTCTTGGGATACTTGGACTTGCAATAAAAGATACAACAACGTTTGTTTCATACACCGTTCTTGTTGCTGTTGTAACCTGTGATAATATAGCATCGCTTCTGACCCTTCTTTGCGGCAAGGGGTAAATCATTGCATACTGAAATTTGTGAAGATTGCACTGCTCTATGTGTGTCTTTTCACAGATTTGATTTTTTTTGGGGGGGCAATGGAAGATACAATTCAACATGCAGCAACGTCACGATTCCAAAGGAATGATATTGATACCCAAGACTGAACGAAGGGAGGGGTGTTTGCAGTCTCGTCTATAATCATCCTCTCGTTTCGGTCTCCAAAAATTATGCCACTCTTGTTCCAATCGAGATTTTGTTGCAGTACCAAATCAGAACAAATTAGCAACATTCCGCATGAATGATGGTAGTTCCTGGTGCTGCTGCTGGAACCACAACTCGGCTCCGCCCATTCCCACCCCGACGCTCGCCAAATTGCTCACAAAGCACCCCAGAAAGGTAGCGAGAATGAACGGTCTCAAACCCACGTTGGTGGCTCCCCCCAGAAGGTAGTTTCCGGCCGAGAAGGGAAAAAATGGGGCCAGCCGCAATCCAACCAGGGCCAAAAAGATGGTACGCTCGTCGTACCCCGAAGAATAGGGCGTGCTGCGATCATCGATTTCGAGGGATTCGGCATCGCTGGCGTCCCTCTTGTTGTTTTTGTTGTCGGGAAGAAGGGCTCGGAATTCCTTGAAGTTTTGGTTCCCCTCGTCGCCAAGGGAATCGAGGAGCCCCCGGATCCGTTCCGGGTCGGAGAGCTTTCGCGAGGATGAAAAGGCGAGGACCCCCGCCAGGGTCTGCCCGATCACGCACACCGGAAAGGCAGTTGGTCCGTATGCTGCACCCAACGAGACTGCCAGTGGCTGGCACGGCACAAAGGGGATCATGTCGGATGCCGTCACGAGGGCAATCGTAGAGATTGCGGTAGAAAGATTCATATCCAGGTCCGCGTTTGTTCCCATTCCCAGGTCGCCTGCGTGCTGGCTGCGGAGGAGATCGGTGGTGGCAGAGAACGAGGGCTGGGCGTGTGAGGCAGCCGCGAGAAATCCGGAGTGTAGGCCAGCAGCATCGGGTAGTCCGATTGCGGGGCTCGCAAGGATGATCGATGGAAGAGTTGGTACTATCATGCCGTTGGCGTTTCGGTTGTTTTTTGGGTCACGTATTGTACTTCTCGTTCAATGATTCGTAATATTGACCTGTACGCATCTATCTGTTGTACCGTAACATGAATTGTCATGATTTCATACTCGTGAAGAAGTTTGTTTCTTTGACGGCATCGGCATGCATCCACATACCTTTACACGTTACTCGTGCGTACGGTAGCAGAATTCGAGTTAGTCGAAGAGATCAGGAGTCAGTCGTGAATAAAAAATATATGAAAAATTTGAAATATTGAAATATTTCATGTTTTTGGTTAAAAATTGTAATTGTAAAATTATTGTAAAATTACCCCAAAAAGGAATGAAATGTATCCCTATCTTTCAGACGTGAGCGCATCATTTTCATTACTACCAGTAGATCACAACGAGGAATTTTGGTCTTGTTCCCAAAAAATGCCGATCTGCACTGAGACTACACAACTTCTTTCTCGTTGTCAAAGTTTCGATTACGACCAACTCTCCAAACAACAATGAACAACGATTGCCCATTCTAAGCCACCAAGTATACTCGGATATTCAGAGCATAATTGAAATGCGTTTAGCCTGGCTCTCAGAGGGCTAGTCTGAAGGTTGAATTATTTTGTCATGAAAAGCGACCGATAGGTGGAGCAAAAGAAGAAGGTCATGATTTACTGTGAACTGCATGTATACTGCGGTGACTACTGTCAGATGCGCATTATTCTCTGGGGAGTAGAGGCGATTGAGATTTACGGAAGAAAGGCGCAAGAGCATCTAAGGAAGCCCTGTGTGACAAGAAAATCGTGTTGTCGAAATACTTCCAAATCGATAGGAACTGATCCATATTTGGGTCACATATACTTTCGATCGATGTGAGCAAATGACAAAATCAATCGTAAAAATTGGATTCAATTAGAATTTTATTCTAATAATATTTTTTCATCACCTTATCTAACTAGTCGTGACTAATATCGTTAGTTTACGATAGACTTTCGAGCTCTCTTTCGACACGTCGCATACTGCAAACAATCGATGGTCATCACTTGTTTTTCTTCACTGCGGGATCCTCTCGATCAATTGTCTTGTTAATTTTTCGATCGAGGTTGCCGTCCGTGTAGGTCATGGCGCTGTTTGCGGAATAGGACCCAAACGGCTGGACTCCCCGCTTCTTCTTCTTTTTGGTTGTATGCGTTTCGAACTCGTGGGATCTTATCACAAAGAGGACCATTTCGATAATCATCATGCCCACTCCCGAAATAACGGCCAAGATGACCCGCTTGATGTCGACTCCTGTAGGGTTTTTATCGAACTCGTCGTCGCCTTCTTCCCTGGGGAACAAGTAATCGAAGACACCACCAGAGAAGAAGTAGATAAATGCTCCAAAGGATATGGGTGCCACAATCATATTGATCCCGACGGACGCTGCGTAGGTCATGGATTTGGCCGTTTTGTCGTCGTCCTGGCGCTGGTCTTTGATGTTGGTGGTGATCCGGGTGTATTTGGTCTCCTCCGCCTTCAGACGGAGTTTCTCCATCCTTGCGAGGTATTTCTTGCGCTCCTCGGTCAGCTCTGGTGCAGGGGGAGGGGGCGTGAAAGCCAGTTGTAGCGATGCGGACGACGAAAGGGCGCTGTCCAGCGACGAAGATTCTTCACCCGCCAGAGGCAACAGCAATCTGATGGATTGAAGAACCCGAATGGGCACGACTGCCGGCTTGTTTTTCTTTCGTTTGATCTTGCTAGGGTCACCGGCATTTCTAAGAACATCGATTGCTTCGGTTTTCGTGCTGGGAGTGGCAGACGCTCGGAACGAATCTTCAACAGAGGAATCCTTTTTCGTTGTTACGTGTGTTGAATATGCACTTTTCCATAAATCGTATAATGCAGGGCTTGCATTGATCCCCTCCAACCGTTTCTTGTAAGGAGCCTTTCCCGTGATTTTGACGTCGCTTTTTAGTTCAGTAGAAATCGCCATGGTTTCCAGCACGGGCCACTGCTATATTATATTATTGCGCTGCGAATGTCTTTTCCTAAAATTACGATCGAATATAGTTGTGTATTGAAGTTGAGATTTGAATCCTGTTGCAACAGGTCTTGTTCTCGCCCTTGCTTCAAAAAAAAAATATCAAGGGTCAGTCAATGCAGTAGTTTTGTTGATGGAGACTATGAGACTTGTGTAGCAGGATGATTCACGTTGCAGCGTCTGAGTCTTTCCTCTTGTATGATTATTATTTTGTGCAAGACATGTGGTTGCTGCTGTATCGGATGAATTGATCTCAACATTTTTTTACATCATTTCAAAATAGGGAAAAGCTTACTGGAATCGTTCAGTCGGTTCAGTTTGGCGACTAACAAATCACACGGGGGAGTGGCAATTTTCAAACGTGACTAAACGTTTCAATCTTGGTACTCGTGCTATTACTCGTACTCATCATTGGCTCGCAACAACAACAACAACAACAACAACAACAACAACAACAACAACAACAACAACAACAACAACAACAACAACAACAACAACAACAACAACAACAA